AAATTTTTCCCCCCTTCTCACCCTGAATTCGAGTTAACCGTGAGAAATTCGTTATCGGGAGTGAAAATTTCATTCGAGATATCCGGAAATTCGAGATAAGCGAATTCGAGTTAAACGGAGCATTTAACATGGTGTCCTACGGGGTTCCGCCGGGACCAAGCTTTGAACTTCGAGATAAGCAGAATTTCGACTTATCAGGATTCGAGTTAACGAGTTTTCACTGTACTAATATATTTGTCTGTTTGGGATGATTTCCTCTCAAACCAATTCTCAGGAAGCCTAGTTTTCTTCTGGTTCTCCAAGTATGACAAAATTCATCGCATTTTTAGTAACGTAAGAAAGACTCCTCTTCTCTGCAGTGTGTTTTTATCTTGTTTGTCGCGATTGCAGGGAAGGGAGATCGGAGGGGATTGGATGGTGGCTGTGGTTGGGTTTGGCCTTCTTCTGCCTGATGGAAAGCATGCTGGTGGATGGCACCACCATCTCCAACCAAGACCCGGCGCCATCCCAGTTAAGCCGATACCTACGAGGAGGTGGAGGATCCTCGATTTTCTCTCGACTGGGGCGAGGAGGCTCGCATAGCTTCATCCGCTTGGGACGAACCATCGACAACCGATGGACCCCACTCCCTCGCTATGTCCGAGGCAGTTCCAATTTCATTCGACTTGGAAAAAGACTCCCGTTCGACGTAGAAGAAGCCCAAGATGAAGGAGAAGGAGAATCGGATGAAGACTTGCCGAGGGTTCGAGCTCCAAGGGCTCCCTACGCTCCACCCAACATCAAGAGGCTCATCAGAGATAACTTCGTCCGACTTGGCAAATCAGTCCAAGAAGACGACCAGCAATGATCTCTCTCATATTCACTTCCTTCCTGTCATTTCGTTTCCGGTCAGTTTCAGAGCTTTCGACTGTTCGTACACTGCAAGGACCTTATCATGCGTAACTGATTGTGACATTTTCACACTTGACAGAATACTAAAGGATGTCAACATCCATAAATGTTAACATCCATGTTTATATAACTTTTTGCTATCATCTACTTAGAGGAACTGTAGCATGTAAGCGTCCGGCAGAAATTTCATCTAATCTTTCACCTCATGAAAGGTCCCCAAAGGGAATTCGTTCTCATTGGATACCCATTGGATTGGATTGGATACCCGCGAAGGGCCAAAAGTGCATTCATTGTTGAGTATGATATTGAATTTCCTATTGAAGGCATATAAGCGGAAGGAACATTGAATGCATATTAACTGAAAACAGGCCCAAGGAAGGCATTTGTCCAGCGTTCTCAGCGTATTTCCCTCGAGACTCTCGGAGACTGACGCCAGATCTATCATCAGATTGAAGTCATACATTATCAGACTCCGCTTATGTCAGCCATCCCATCTCGATTATCTGGACCCAGGTGAAACGATGTCTTCGCGAGACCAGTTGAGCCTGAAAATTGTTTTCGTTTCATGCCCATCTCGCATGTCTCCGAGCAGGAAAGTTTCTGTTCCAGGCGAACGGAGCTCTGAAGGGAAGAGGGGTGAAGCGATTAATATAATTTATTTCGTGGGTGTAGGCCAATGTTGGGAAGTTGCTTCCCCTCCCGTAACAATTCATCAAACTTATTGCACGAAGAACACAAGCTTTCCCAGGATCCGTGTAGGAGTCTGCACATATTTATAAATAAAAAGTCCGATTGTATATATAATTTTATGTATCATCATTAACAAGATTACTAATGACCTATATCAAGAAAGCAATTACAGTAAGTAGCATACAAACATATAACACATTTTTCCTCTTTCGGATAACTGCACTACCTTAACCTGGAACCGAATTTCGATTGAGAGAGATTGGGTGACAGCGGTATCTACATTGGTCTCATCGTGATATTTCAAATATAATGAAATGATGACAGTTAAATGGCAGCACCAGACAATGTTTCTTTCGTCTCTGTTGAAATTTATTGTTTTTGTCGCTAGATTCAGAGATTCAGAGCTAGATTTATGGGTCGGTTAAAACTTAACTTAACATTAACTTTTCTATCAAACAGACTATTAGTGGTTAAATCAAGCTTTTTCATCGATCGCTACAAATAGTTAATTAAATAGACAAAACGTAAGACAAGGATCAAAGTTCAAGGTTTGGGTGGAGAAGTCAAAAATAATTTCTGCCTTATTACCGGGTTCGGTGACGGAATGGTTCTTGCTTCCGGGTGAAATTGGAGGCAAGGGATCGAGCCTGTTTGGCGGCGAGCTCTTTCTCCGCAAACAGGCGACCCACCTGCATTCATGGGGAGTGTCTGCTTAGCGTGGTGTAACGCACACGCCACTCTGTTTTGCACGCCTAGGAGATTCGGGCTCACCACGCCTTCAAAATTGCTCTTGCCGGCAACCAGCGACCTTCTTCTAGGACCTAGGAGAGGTGCCTGAGGGATTGCGATCTTGGTCGTGGATGTGAACAAGGCCGTATTTAGGGGGGGGGGGGTTCATGGGGTTCAAACACCCCCCCCCCCGAAATATCTTCCTTAAATGTTTGCCATACTGCTATTCGTCGGTGTAAATGGTGCTGTACTTAGTCTTTTCTATCTTTAATAGCTTATGACTTATTAAACACTGCAACTTACAGAAAAATCCAGATATGTCCCAAAGACTTACAATGACAAGTATTAAAAAAATAGCCACAGCGCGTACGCCGGACCTCAACCCCCCCCTCCCGAAATGAAATCCGGCCCTGGGTGTCAAGTAGGCATCCTCCTCCTCTCTTTGTATCGTAGTACTTCCATTGTCAAATGTGATCGCCGTCTGTTCCGCCTTTTTTTTCTGTAATTCCGACATATTCACATCATTTGTCATGTAAGATAGGCCCTCTAGAGTTAGATATTTTTGCTGGTGCATATCCATAAACCGCTTAGTGATGTAGTTATACAGTAGTTTCAATAACCTCTACTTGAAGACTGTCACGGAAGGGGAAACTACGGGACTTCATGTTTGCTAACGCGCTCTAGGTATTTAATATCCTCTAAGTAAGAAAAAAAAGCATTTCCGCAAGGAAAAGTATTTCCGCAGGAGTTTCACTTTAAGCTTACGTAGCTTGAACTGGTTCTCGTTCTGATGACCTCATCGAGTTGATAATTTTCCATGTTTTCGATTCCATGGATGATCTTGAATGCTTGGATGAAGTTTGTCTTGTTGGCTCATCGCGGACTTTACTTATTGTCCCAGTCAGAATTACGGAGGAAATCTTATTAAATATTCCGTTTTACTCGAATTGCTCATTTCAAGCTTCGTAGTACTTCGAGGGGGGGGGAGGGAAATTTCGACTCCTGACGGAGAATTTGTCCCATTTAACTCTTAAGTTCAACGTGTAAACTGTGAAGAATGAAAAAATCCTGAATCGGAATTCTTACGATTTATCTCATTCAGGAAATTGATATTTCCTGAATGAGATAAAGAGAGAAGAAACCTGGGAGACACGAGAAACTTTGTCTTTTGTTGTTTTCCTTCCCCTTCGTTCACTGGCGCCCGTGGAAGGTGTTAAAACCGAGGATCTGCAATGAGAAAGGGGATGTATCAGCAAATTCATAGCCTATCAATCACCCTTAGTACCTATACTCTTCGTACCTATCCTGTTCTGACGAATGAAAGGTAGATACTACATCTAGTGGTGTTCACCTCCTGAAATCGGGCATGAACGCTTCCTGGGGGCAAAAAGATCACCTCTGATTACTTTCGTTATGCTAAGATTTATTTTCTGGGGGCAGAGCCATTATCTGGTAAGTTGAACGGATTACTCAGATTACTCTAATCAGCCGGATTACAGCCGGATTACTCGAATCGATTCAACACCCGTCTCATAAACTTTTGAGTTATGGTTCGAGTTATTTTAGCTTCCATTCGGCAGAGTTGTCAAGCTGTGATGGCCCATTTTGTCATTGAAAAGTTTCGAATTCAATCCCGCCAAATAGAGTCGACAAAGTGGAAACGGCGATTCAGATGCTTCATGAAGCGCCTTGCAGCACCGACTCACTTCTCATACTCCATGCGATAGCCGGTCCACAAGCTGATTCGTCGAGCTTCGAAGACTGGAGCTGTCATCCCTTATAGGTTTCCGAAGTTCCTCCCACGCTCTAATGCCTGGAAAATCTCTTCCAGATTTTTGTAGCCTGCCTCCGCAGCCTCTCCGGCGCCATTGAATCCCTTTTGCTTGCAGGTCTCCAAAGTTGAAGACGTTGCTCTTATGAGGTCTTACCAGTAATGCATACAAAGTACGAATAACGCACGAGTTATCATTGAAAATCGAATGCCGAATTGTGCCTAAAATCCTGTTACAAGGATTTGCGCGTGCAAGAAGCTTTGTATCTCGAATGATTCCTCAGTCTCTCTCCTTGTTCGCTTCCCCCCACCCATCCTGGCCAAACGCATCGAGAAAAATCGCTCTTATGACCAATGTGAAGACTCACAATTTCTTTCATGATATTATTACTATGTATAAAATTATAGTGACCCAAATGTCAGGGCAAACATCAGGAGACTTCCACTAATGCGCCCGCATGTAGGCCAAGACAAAGGCAACATTATACAGTGGGGTAGAAGACGTACTATATTTAGAGGGTAATAGCATTAATTTTCGCCCTCTGAGTACATCAAAGGGAATGTGCATCAGAGACAGACTCGAGATAACTCTGTTGGCCAACGTCTTAATGGTATAATTTGCATCTGCTCATGTGCTAACAGTGTGTCACAGTAGGTATGAGCTTCCACTCTTCACCTGTCTTATATGAGATAATCCCTTCCTCAGGTAGGGCACTTCATGGAATCTTATCCTATCTGGGGGACTGCTTCAGGACATGGTTTGGCATGGATCAGCGTGATATTAAATCAACTAAAGGGAGCGAGTTAATATGATGTGAATATTATGCAGCACCGTTGGAACAGTTGTTATTCTAGATTTAAAATAAATGCCTTTAGCATCTTCATCACATTGCACACTGCTTTCGCAATATTATCCGAGAGGTGGACACAAATTCCATGAACACCTTCCGAGTGTAAATTTCCGTCTAATTGGGGTGTACCGGGTGGCAATAAAAATGTTCCGAGCTTTACAGAGCCAAAGAGGGAACACCATACACGGCATTCGTTGGAAAACTTCAGGGTGTCACACTCAACATATGTTTAATGCTTCACAAAAATTTCAATGAATTTTGTCCCCAGTAAGAGCTATTTTCTCAAGGAGGGTGAATTGAGGGCGAGCGCAACGGAAGCGCAACCGACCTCAAGAGAGAAAAGGTGTTCGATGGTTCCTCCTTTCTGGTCCATAACAGCTCTCAAGCGATATTCCCATTGGTCGATTCATCTCCTCATTGAATCATTAACTTCAAGAGGTCACACTTCTTGTATATTAACCTTATCTTATCAAGTGTTTAAAACGGCGTGCAGCGTTTAGCATAAACAAGCTCCTTCACATCGTGCTAAATCTGTTCAGGAGTAATTGAAAAATAACACTTGTGACGTCATCCAAGAAAATCAGCGGCCACACAATTCTCCTGACTTAAATCCTCTTGACAATGGAACGTGGAAAGAATTGAAGGAGTTTAGTTATGCAAGACATCTCTTCATGTTTGACTCTTGAGTTGACACACTGCGAAGCAATGACGATTAATTATAACTATTAATGACGACATTTTGGAGCCTCTGCGTAACACGAATAGCAAACGAGTTTTGCTACGATAATACGGTAAAACACCACTGAAATGCACCTTTCTCCAAGTCGTTTGGCACGTTCTCAAGTTTACTTCGCAAGAAAAAGGGAGGGAAAGGAATCGGGGAAAAACAGGCCAGCTCTCGCGGACTGAATGCACATTCCGCCTTTCTCGGTCTCTCTGCTCAGATTCATACAGAGCTTCCTCCTTGAACAAGATTTGCGTCAAATGAATGAATGAGGGTCTGACGAATCCCGAAAGTTATGTCTGAATTGGCTTCGGCTTCAAAGGAGGGGGAGAGGGGTTTTAGAAGAAAAGTTAAAACAAATTTAATTAAATGATGGGATTCTAGGAAGCATTTCCTTGATTTCGTTTTGGACACAACCTTGCCAGATTTTATCGATCTACGAACGTTCCCTGAATGCTATCGAGTTCTCATTTTCTATCGTCAAATCGGCGGGCAAGAGAGATTTACCTCGTAGACATGCGTCCATTGTCAACAGAGCATCTACTGATGCCGGCGAATGACATTTCAACAATGTGGGAACGTACGTGTTGCTCTTCGGAATTGCAAGCGTGACTGTTTATGTACATGCCAGTCGAAGGCGTTGTGCTGTACATTTCCCTATTTTGAAAATTCTCCCATGAATTCTCTCCGGAGAACTGTAATTCCGTGCAACTTCTTTCCTTTTCTTCTCCGGGAGCACTTCCGAATAACGGGGCAAATCTGCTAGACTGGGAGACAGATGGACTGAGACAGACAGTGAAGAATTAAGATCATCAGGGTCGATTTTGCCCCCCCCCCCCCTCTTCCGTGTTTCTTCCGCTCCTCTGACTCTGTATCGTCTCTGTCCGTGGTCGATGAAAAATTGCGATAAATGATTTTTCGAAAGATGCATTTTTTAAGGAAATTAAAACATTGAAGAATAGATACAATCATGAAGCTACGTGCTACGACTCGACAGTTATTAGGATGAAAAACAGCTTCGGGTTAAACGCCATTTTTCTTCATATGCCATGCAGAAAGGGAAAGAATGCCTATAAATATTTAATGCGGGTGGTGTTCGCCATACTCCCAGAAGGAAATGCCTCATGCAGTTCTATTGTATTCCCGAATTCTCCAGAGGAATCAGGGCTGAACGGCTGTCATGCACTGTCATGCCACTTTCCGTCTTTAGACATGGTCATGCCATGCTTGGGAATGGCCATAAGCATAGGGATAGGATGCAGCTAAGAGAATTTAGACGTCTCGTTCCGGTGGCATGGTTTCTATCATTTCTCCCATTTTCATCCTTTTATTCCTCCTTTTTGCCTCTCCTCCCCTGCCATGCGGTCTCTTCCCGCTTTCCTGGCATGAAAATTATTTTCACGCTTTCCAAGCGGTCGGAAAAATCAGCTGACGTCTACGCAAAAGTTAGTAGCTTGTTGAAGCAGATACGTTCAGACAATAATGCGCAAATAAGAAGGCAAGGTTCAAATTGAGGCTAATCCAGGCTAATGAACTGAAAGGAAGAGCATAATGCCTCATTCACATGTGGAAAATACGATTACTGTTTCTAGCCTTGCTGTAGAATCGAATCCATCCAGGAGGCTGAGCAATAATTTGTCCTTGATCTCCTCTCCACCCCCCTCCCCCTTCTCTCCACTTCCCTCTCACCCGTCCCTCTCCCTCTCTTTCTCTCTCTGAGTTTCTACCCAGCTCTGGGATTGAAGTATTTGACTTATGTGAGAAAATGGAATTATTCAAAACAAAATATAATTGTTTTGAGTCAGACCGTAAAAGGAAGGACACAAGACTTCGAGGCTGGAGAGTCTCCCGAGCAGACATAAGACGTTCAAAGCAAACTGTGTCATTGTTTCCCCAGTGGCCAGTCCTCATTACGCAACGATGAGAGGCCATGAGCCCAATCTCATCGACATGGTTTCTTCGAGGTATAGTTTCGATGCCGCCGGTGGTGATATTCAAGAGTAGTTGAGAGATTAGTCACGGCTACAGCATTAAAAAAAAAAGATCTCAGCCCTAATGAGAAAGGAACACCTTCAAAATGTGAAAAGTCCTAGTGGCCCTTCACAGATTGCATTCGATCCAGTTATTTTTGCACTTAGGCAGTCTGGTGAATTTTCAATTGTTAGTACCTTTCAGTGCTTTTATAACTTGGTCAGTCTTGGATACGCGAATTGCAAAGATCTGGCAAGTCGTAAGGTTACCTGATCTGAGCAAATCTGCTCGAGAGATTCGGAGATATGAAAAAATGTAGATCTCCGAAAGTTTTTGACCAATTAGTGACCATCAGTATTTTCACTTGTGAATACGTACACTCACATGAAAGTCGCTCGCGTGAAAGATTGTTCCTGTAGACGACTTTAGCCCGTAAGAATGCTTCTACGAAATATTCTCTTAGAATCTGCTTTATTTATTGAAAGTACTGGAATGACCTGCGAGTAACGTTCATGCGAGCATACTCGCATAAATATAACCGATTACAGACGAAACTTTGAGATTAGAGAGATCTTGAGGAATGAAGAAAATGGAAGTTATTTTGCTACCGTGAACGGGAGTCGCGAAGGCAATAGGTCTGCACAAGGAAAGAGCTCCCATACATCTCTTATTCACTGCACTGTCGTTCCTTATAATACTTGCCATTACTCTTGTCTAATTAGGCCCTTTGGAACTTCAGTTTGACTTGATAATTATACCTATCACGGAGAGTTTACTGACGAAACAGTATTCTCTTGTCTCTTTGCGCTATCGTCATAATGAACCTGACGCAGTCCATCAGCGAGGATCTCACATACACAATGTAACAGAATTATTTGACTCCGACATCGAGAGCAAAGTAAAAAATGGTAGAACCCTGGTTTTGATTGAAACACTCGAATAGGAAATTGATCGAACTATCAGCAATTGCTGTTTTGCACCCGCCTGAACGAGAGCCTGAGTTGATTCATGAAAGTTACCTTCGTTCGTGACACCGCACCCTGCTTTCGAGCGCTTGCGACTCGAGAGCAATTCTCTCGACAGCGGGATGAAAGTTTTCAAGAGCTTGGAGTGGCTAGCTTGGATCCTCCAGATATGGATGCTGATCTCATCGAATCCGGCATGAGAATTGTGTCGAGAAGCTGATAAGAGAAGTTATTTCCATGCCTGTTCTGGCGTGAATCACCTTCAGTTAATTTTTTTCAGACTCTCTTCAAAACGTACCTTGATAGTATTCTGGCAGTCGAACAGGCGGACGGAAACCACAAAATGCTGGTCATATAAATCAAAACCAAGGTCCTGTCATTTTTAATTTGCCCACAATATAGGAGTCAATTCGTTTCGTTACAGCCTGTACGCCCAGGCCTACCCAGTTTAAAATCCCAGCAGAAAATTTCCAGCTGGACCGAAACTGTAAACTCAGACCCTTTCCAGCTGGCAAGAGGTGGAAAATGTTAGGAGTCGGCTGTTTTACGGGTGAAATTTAAAAAACTGGATTGCAGCTGGTTTTAATAGATGTTTCCGGCTGGAAATTTCCAGTTTGAATTTTTTATGCAGAGGATCCGTCAGCTGGAATACGGCTGAATTTATAGCGAAAATGCGGCTGCTTCCGTAGATGGGTCTTCAGCAAGAATAGTCCAAAAAATCCTTCTTAATCCACCTGGAATATTGTAGCTAGGAACTAATCTGGATCTGACTTTACTTTCCAGTCGGTTCCCAGCTGAAATGAGTCTGAATTTACAGCTATGATCCGGCTGGAAGTTAAAGCTGTTTCCAGCTGGGATTTTGGGATTTTCTGGGTAATGACAGAACATTACGAGTACGCCTGCAGTTCCTTTTAAAGTTTCCATTGGATTGATACTATTTAAGGGTGTGTAAAAGAAAAATTATGTTCATATTATTTTAATTCTAGGTTTCCTTTATTGGCCGGAAGATAATATTGCCATGAAAAATAAATAACACGAATGGGCATGAATTTCTATAATAATTAATCAGGTAATGAATGTCACCGTCGCTCTAAATTAAATCTCATTATGTAGAAATTAATCTTCTAGTGATTTCGGATTAAATTCGCCCTTTTTCGGAATTTTTTTTCCCACCCGATCGATACGCGAATTTAATAGAGCAAACCATGGAGTTGGTGGAAATTGCCCAACCCCTAGGGGACAACATTGCATAGCTAAATCCGCTGCTGTATCTTCACAACTGCGAAGATTATTGTTGAACAGCACAGGTCACTTCACAAACATCATGCCTCCCTGATATTTGCACAGCAACTGATAATCATGAGACAGGGATCCTTCGATTACATGTTTTCAACAAAATGCGAGGAAAATGCTCTGGTGTGCACTTGCTTTGCACTTACTCTATATTCCGTACAATAATTTATGAGGTCAATCCGAATTCGAACCAGTAATGTCAAGAGATCTCATCTTCCGATAACTTCCAAGCTGCCCTGTGAATTGTAACGTATATAAGTGCGGTGACAAATATTGGATTTGCTTCTCAGGCTGTAAACTTGCAAAGGGAGAGGAGAAGGCGAGGAGTGGATGGAGAGAGAAGGTCCACTGCAGGACACCGTGCGGAGGATCGGCCAACTGCACGTTTCCCCTCTACACCTACAGATGTCTCTCCATTCTCGATCTCTCATCTCTCAAGAATTGCATCTTACCCACTGAGACCCTCTACTGTCACGACTTCTAGCAGACTGCTGAGATGCCGACCCTCCTCTTCTGCTGCCGAATTTCAGACTTCGCCCGTTTGTATTGAATGAGTGTGATTGAATCCTCCACCTGAGACTCCACAAATTTAACTCCGTCAGCTCCGTCTTGACCTTTGCCAATCGCTCCTGCTAAACCTTAGCTAGCCGTATCATAATGGCATAATGGTTATTCATTTATTAAGGTTATTCGCCTGGACCCTCTCTTCCTCTGCTTGTTTCGTCACTCCACGTTTGATGGTCGATTCTCCCCTCCAAACGCAATTTCAACGCTTCTCAAAGAGTTTTAGGCAAAGGTTTTGACTCGTCTCATTGTTGATTGAGCTGGCCTCTACTTCTTCTTAGTGTATAGACCATAATTTGTGTGATGACGCTTTTGCGAAGAATTAATTGAGCTGCGTTCGACTCGGTTTTATCCCTCCGACAATGAAACCCCACAAACCTTCTCACAAAACCCATATTGGAAAGTGCAAGTTGACAGTAAAATGTAGGCATGAAATTTCCTGAAGAGGGTATCCATTTAACCGTGGCAGACATCCTTCCTCTCTCCCTCCCTTTCCCTCCCCCATTGACATCGTCCACCCTCGTTCATTGTTCATTTGTTTGATCGATTTCGACCGTTTCTTCATCTGTCAATGAGTATCTTCCGTAACCCCTGTATATCAATCCCGTTAATGTGTGAAAGGATGCGTCGGCTGCATGTTGAAATATTCCTATTTTCTGCGGAATGGGGATCTCTCTGTCTCCCTCTATCATCTGCCAAATATAGCAGTTTTCCTTGCCTTCCCTTACGATTCATTTCCACAGTGGGCGAGGAACAAATAAAGCCCAGACGTTTCTCCTCGAGACAAACCGTGTGTATTGTAACGGGAACAAGGAAATAACGTCGCGTAACTCGCGAGTCTAGTGCATTAGGGCAATAACAATTACGTTTCTGTTAGAATTGGTTGCAACTGTTGCATAATGATAAGGAATTGTTAGTAGTAGAATATCACGTTTGTACAATAAATAATTAATTACCTTGCATTGACTGGTAGAAAAAAAGTTAGATATTCACGAGGTTAAAATAAAATTCATTGGGGTTGCGGAACTAGGATTTGCGCCCTACCCCCTACCGAAAAAAATCATCCCAGCACAATTCTTAGCTTCTTTTTTTTTAATGCCAAGGAAAATGCTGGTAAAACAAATAGCAAAACATTTAAAAGTTTGTGAATTCCATAGTTGGAACACAACAGCTAGGGTTCTGAATCATTGTTCGTTCCTGTCTGTCAGAAAACATGTGACTAATGGTTAGATGCATCTAAAAGCAGACCCTAGTCCCGTGATGGGGAACCAATCCCAGACTACCTAGAAAGCTTGGATCATGAAGGGCCCTCGCATAGCAACTTCGGCAAATCATTCGTCCAAGCAGCTTTGCTTGGCCCGTTCATGGCTCTTGGTTGGCTTCATTAGCTATGGACAAAGGACCATTACGGGCATTCCTTTCATGGGTTGTAAGTAGTGTTCAAAATTGGAGAAACTAAAAATCAGTAATAAAAAATGCCCTCGATTCGACGCTCGTGGGTAATTGCATGAAGGCAGTGGTCCTTGGCATTCTGTTGCTCGCACGCCATTATTGATTATGATCCCTCTGAATGGCTTGATGAAGCCGGCGTCAATCAGTCATCGCCTGAGGAATCATCTAATGAGAGGTGCGAGGCGAACATGAAAATTTATGGTTGTCAAGAGAGGTATCTGAAGGTAATGCTGCACACCTTGCATCATTCGGGTGTCATTTTAGAGTAGAAAAAAAGGAAGCCATAACTGATATCTACAAAGTAAGGCAGGGTTTTGAGAAAATCTCGATGTTGTGGTTAGTCAGAATTGCTGAATTGGGTCCCTGTAGTCGTTGTTCAAGGTTTGATCAAAGTCGGGCTAGCCGATTCCGTAGCTCTAAACATAGATCCATTCAAGGGCTTTCGCCTTATCTGTTTTTTTGAAAATCGTGGTCTCTAGCTAGTAATAAATAAAACCTAAATTATGATAGTTGAAGAGTGGAGACAAGAGGCAAAATATATACTTGGACCGGAATACTTGGACAGAAAGGTGTGGGATCTCATACCGTCACAGGTCTGACAATTGACGAACATGCAAACTTTCAATTTTCCGGGATCTAATAATTTACTAGTTCTGGTAGCACGCGACAGAACGTTGAAAAAATAATTAAATTTGCAGAATGAATAACAACTAGTACTTCCTCCCAATCCTCGAAATGCTTACCATATTGACTCAGCCTATCAATCCCCCCCCCCCCCCCCCTTCCCCTAGTACCTGGGGGTGAAGGGGGGGCATTTAGGGTAGTGAAAATCCTAATTCAGCGGTTCTCAAACCATGTGTCGCGGCACCCAGGGGTGCCGCGAGGGACTGATGACCGTGGAATGCCGTGGATTCATTCCTAGGCTTATTGCCTAATTGATGCAGGAAGGCAACTATGTCCCTTAGCCATTGATTTTCCCCTCGGATTCCTGGAAAGCTACTGTCCTGTAATCGAAATTTAATTCCCTGCCTGTGATGCCAATCACTATCCCAAATCCTTTTCAGTCAATCTCTACAGTTCAAGAGACGTGGGAACCTGTGCGGTATCGTACCTCGCGTATTGTTCTTTCCAGTCGTACGATTTATATAGACTTGATTTGATGAAGCCTTCGGATTGACTGGTATTTCTCGATAAAATATAACATGGTTCCGCTCAGTTTATTGGTCAGTTGTGCTGTGTTCCAAGGTGCTGAAGTTATATAGTTGTCCCTAGTGGTGTAGGGAAGGGGGGTTTAGGGGGTTATAACCCCCTAAACCCCCCCCCCTCCTCCTCCTTGGGCTTTCCGGTCAGTGACACTGACAGGCATATTTCAACCTTCCTTGGGAGTCTAAGTATGACGATAGCTATCTTTGCCGTGACTTCTGTGTTACATAAGTTATTGGTGCGACGGTCCGCAGGGCGTGAAACATAGCGATGGGTTGTCATCTTCTTCATGCTTCGAAAACTGAGACATGCCTGAATCTTCTCTGTAGCCAGAGGCAGGCACTTGTATCACACTGAGGTACAATATGCCAAGAATGAGAGCTTGAGTGGATCTTCGAAGTGGAGTGGAGTGGAAGACGATCACTTCTCAATTATACATATTGTCATAAATAAATTGTGAGGTCCTGGTTCAGAGTTTACATTTAGGCAAACGTTAATCGGTTTTGGCAGTCCATGGGATTGTGCAGGGTGCCGCCATTGTCTCTTAGAACAAGAAGGGTGCCGTTGGTACTGAAAGATTGAGAACCGCTGCCCTAATCCATAGAAAATATGAACTTTTAGAGTAAGACACTTGCCCTTTCTGATGTTTGCGAAGCACCATTCTGTGGTGAAAAATTAAAAGTACCCATTGATTATTTAAAGCTTTTTGTGCCAACTCCAGTCCCCTCTACCACGGTTGCCTGATGTCACGTCAGAGTTCCGTCTGATTTAAGAGCAATTAGTCTTCATATCGTTGCCTATATCTTCTGTTGATAATGTGCAAGACACTTCCTTGCTGAGTTCATGGGATGCGGTCGAAATGGATCATAGGATGATCGAAACACTGTTTAGCATTGGCCAATCGATGTGGTGCATTAGTGATGGGCCGTCCATGGACATCTCTGCAGATGATGTCAAACGTGAATTTGAACTTTGGAGGCAGTTAGGACGTCTGTCCATGGACGCCCCCTCTCATATGGCTCGAATACTTTGAGATAGTATATCTCGAAGTTCTCGAATCACAGACCTGATTGGTTAGTAAGTAGTGAGTTGGGATTCTTTTGGGAGGAAAAATGTAGGCCATGACCTGACCTGAATTCAACAGAGGACTGAACCTAGGCCTACGACTCCATCCCTATTCTCATTCGTAATTAGCTATTCCTTTGTGGTTTTGGGTCATTCTTTAAGGATATAGACACTACTCATCCATTGAGGTTATGCAAACTGTCACTATGTCTGAAGAGGGAGAGGGGCGAGGAAAGGGAAAAGCCTTTAAAGAACTTCTTTTCTCACGGCAACATTATTCTGACTGACGTTACTGCTTCTTAGGCAATGAACCCCTCAATTAGCGTTTCTCCTGAGGAGCAGCTTCAGCGTGACGAACGCACTCTGAGAGTGCATGCATCCATATGCAATTCGCAAGGTCAACGGGCGTGGAATAAATTTTAATTTTTTACATGGAGATATTAGCTTTCCTTCGCGAGAAGGAAAGCTAATCTTTTCCTTCGCGAGAGAACAGGGTAAGATCACTATGAAACGTTTGTGAAACTCAGGGGAAAATAAAAAATAATAATAATAAAACAAAACAAAACAAAACAGTCGCAAAACGCCAAGACTTGCAATTACACATCCTCGCTCTGGATTAGAAGTAGTGGCAAGAAGAAACTTCTCTCTGCTGCACTTAATCCGACTCGTTAGCCAAGTTTTGCTCTTTTTTTTCTGCATGCTATTGGGAGAAAAATCCATAAATCCACACAACTGCAATGAAGGCTAGAGAAAAGAAACTCCCAATTAATCCATTCCGGACACGCAAGTGGAAACTTTTGCATCCAGCATGTAATTAATGAAGCTTCTTACGAGGGAATGGCTATTGATGACATGAATAGTCATGCCCCCCCCCCCCCCCCCCCCCCTTCCCCCAACCCGATTGATCTCCGACCTATTTTTAGACCTTCTGATATACCTCTAAATACATCATCCCCGTGGAACTTAGATTATACATTAGGTCTCCTTGGGGGCGTCACTGTCCAACTTCCTGAGTTTTTATGACTTCGATGAAAGGTTAAACAATCCATTACATCTACTCGATGTCACTGGAAGTAAACAGGCCAGCATTGCGCTATTTTTCCCTCTCTGCCGCACGCAACCAAGGGCAGGTAACCGTTACAACGGCCACGATCGATGAAGAATCGACCCAGTGCAGAGGGAGCCCTGATTCCTGCAAATTCCGGGAAGGAAAACGGAATCTGGGACTTCCAGCCTCTTGAAAATTTGAACACTCTTCCTTCATCTTCCTCAGCCTTTAATACAAATGAGCTTTTAACTACCCCTCTTAGTTACGTTTGATTATTTATCAAGGCTTTACCCTTTATCCATTTTGCCCATTTTGAACCATCAGTTAACTAATTCAATTGTCTTCTAGCTGAGGCCTTATTCGTCTCAGACGGCTCCTTGGCCAGAATAGCATTACGAGTATCTCTCCTCAGTACTGGTATGGAAAGAAAATTAATCTCTATGCTCCTCCTTTTCTCCTTTTTGTCTCCAAAAAAGAGAAAAGGAGGAGGAAAGAGGAAAGAGGAGATTGTATTTCTGGGATACCACTTTGGCGAACACATTACCACCTTTCTGCTGGAGGCTGAGAATATCTTAGACATTAACTAAGTGAGACTCCATTCATAGCCAGGCCCCTTTCCTTCAAAGCCTCCACTCGGTATTTCTGAAAAAAAAATTCGCTTTATCGAATGATTCAGAATAGCCAGGGGATTCCCCTGACCTCAATGCCCGTGAAACCAATGCTAGAAAGAGTTGTGACTCTTTGATCCGTGGACTTCCTCGACACCAGTTTTCTCGCGATCGCCTTTTCAAACATGTTGCGAGATTTCTCCGAACTGTCGAGTTCGACACGGACTTCTACCCGAATTTGCTGCAGCCCCACCCATCCCACCTTGAAGCCCTCGTGCCAGACGGCGGATATCGATATACTGAGATTTAGC